CCCCGCCGCCGGTAGAAGAAGCGGCTCCTTCACGTCTTCTTTCTCCATTATAGAGAGGGAGAGAGAGGAGGAGGTAGAGAGAGGGAGAGTCGGTTCGGAACGTCTCTGAATGGTGCGTGTGTGTATATATATATAAGCAACATAGATGGAATCATTTTGTAACATGTCATATTTAATAAGGGTAGATATTACCAAGCAAACAAAAATAATTAATGTCCTATTTAGCTGAATGTTTTATGTTTCATTTGTGTAGATACCTTTTTTTTTTCTGGTAAGATTTTTGAAATGTCCTTGTTTGGAATTTTATGTGATAATATGTCAAATTCCATTTCAAGGGCTCGTATTTTTTTATATTATTTTTTCCATCTAAATATTTGGTGTTTTATGAGATAGATATTGTTAAATAATAGCAAAACAGACATGTAGAGACAACTCATTGGCAGCCGGCCCGAAATTAAATAAATGACTCCAACAGAACGTGAGGCGTTTTAATTGCTAAAATAATTATATTTTCTTTAATCGTCGTATTTTTTGAAATACGAAAAGATAATACCTCAAGAGACATATTTTCTCTTTTCGGAATCGAATGATTGAACACAAGATAATATAAAAAATTAAATTTTAAACTAAAAATGGTAAAACTTATATATATATATATATATATATATATATAAGACAGGCGTATTTGAAAAAAAACAAACAAAAAAGAATGCATAATGTAATGAAAAGGAAAAATATATTTATTCTATGAGACAATACTATTTTGTGTTACAGATGTAAAATTTAATTTAAAAAACGCATCCATAAATTTCTGCATTTTATATATTGTACTAAGTGATATCTCCGCATTTTACTCATATAAATTAACAGTAACGATAGACAGATTAAGAAACTAGAAGTTTATTTTTATTCCTTTTAGACAATATACCAATAAAATCTTGGTTTCGTGCAAGCCCTTTTCCTGCAACGTGCAACGCCATCTTAGTAAAAATAAAAATGAATATATGATTTTCATGTAATGTTATTGACGTTACAAATATTTTAATGTCTAATATCATGATTAACGGGACAACCGGTGAATGATATGTTATCTACACATATATGCGTGTGTGTGTGTGTGTGTGTGTATGTGTAATATTATAAAAGATTGACGGCTTACTTTCCGTGGTCGTGGACCAAAAAAAAAATGTTACAAATATTTTATAAATCAACAGTTGTTCATATGTAAGTTGTACAACTTTTTATTCGATTCGTATATAATATCCATATATATATATATATATATACAATCAAATCCGATTAGTATTTTTTATTCGTGATGGATTTATGTCATCCGTTGGCAGCCAAATCTGCTATATAAGAGAAATAAATAAATAAATATATACTAATGAAACTGATTTCGAATATACACCGAATGTTACAGGCAAAGCAACATTATAACAATTAATTATATATTATCCAAAATATTTATATACGGATATTTAATCTTTCATCGTAATAACCATATTTTTCATCGTTATCTTATCTTCACCTCTTTCGTTGCCGCCAATAATGTCGTGTCGCATTGCGAAGACTGATGTCCGAAAGCATCAGGAGAAAACATACAACTTCGTCCGCCGCCGTTAACCCCGAGGATAACGCGTCCGTTCCGCCGGACCATCATCGGAAATTATTAAGAATTTGCATATTATTATTATTATTATAAGCAATATGTACAACAAATAAATTCTAATACTATATAATCTATCTGACGAAATTCGATAGCCGCGAATGACCGAATTTTCACTTTGTAAATATCCTTTTATTTTATTTATTTTTTGTTTTCTCAACGAACGACCAATAATTACGATTTTGTCCTTTTTACATGTAATCACGACCAATAATTGCAGTTTTGTCTTGTGGCCATGGTTTCACATCAAGACAAACTTGTGCTTGTTTTCTTCGAAATATTTAAGCAAAATTCCACTCAATCGTGCTTTTAAATATATATATTTGAAATCTATTGAGCTTTTATTGACCATTGAATTTAAGGAGCTTATTCTTTAAGAGTATAATATAGTTGATTACCATAGATCCATGTGCGTGACTTCAGTAGCAGTAGATTCCATTTTTATTTTTTTTATTTTATTTTCAAATATTGGATTTTTTATACGAGTTTTAAAGAAAAAAAATGAGCAAAATAAAAACTATTAGTAAAATAATAAACTAAAACCAAATTGACTGAAAAAAATATATTATCCACACTAAAATCAATAATGTAAAACGAAAAAAAGATTCGCAATCCAACTAAAAGTTTTAAACTTTTAACTTTTCTAGTGATTTGTACTTCTTAAGTTAAATGATAAAATATACTACCTGTAAACAATATCAAAATATATTCTCTCTTATTTAATTTTAGATAACGTTTTGCCGTTAAATACACATATTAAGAAAAAAACATATTTTGTAAATTATTTTTTTAATGTGTAGAGATTTATTATTTTAAAACATGCTTAAGATTTGACTATTATAGATAAGGGGTAAATTTAGGGGAAAATATCAAAAAATAAATGGTAAATCTGAAAAGTCACTTGTTTTTAAAAATGATTCGAAAACGGATAAATTAACAGAGAGTACATACATTCAATAATGCATGTACATAACTGCACATGCTCGAACATATATATATATATAACGAATATACATAAATATATACGCATATATCCGCTCAAAATTTTCAAATTAAAATAAAGTAAAACATAAACAATGGCTCATAGGTATGTGTGGAACAAATATTATATGAAATTAAATAAAAATAGATTCGATCAAGTAGTGGCTTTTCACTTGCAAAAAAAAAAAAACCCTAACCTACGGCAGAAAAAAAAAGAACATATATTCACTTGTCAGTATCTTGAATAATTTAATAACTCCATAATTTTTCAATTAAGATATCAAGATTCCCAACTTCGATAATTGGGCAAATCTCTAACGGAGACATAATATAAAACTATTTCGATTTTTTTTTCTTCGATTAGAACGAGGGAGCATAGCATGCTTCCTCCCTCCATGCATCCCTTTCAAAGATTTCACATTTTTTTTTAAAATTTTGTAAATAAAAACTCTTATAAGCACATAGAAATCTTAAGAAATTCTATATACATACGAAATTTTTTTAAAATATTAACATACAAGGTATGGATTGTTGTAATAATCCTATGGGGTAGACGAGAGACTTTGCTCTCGACTTTAGTTTTTATGGGTTGTTACACATACAAAATGGGCCTGGTTCTAATACAGATTTTGGGCCGCACAAATAATAACCAAGCCCATTTGTGTGTATCCAGGTTTATAATTTGTTATATATTTATTTATCTATTATAAATTCTATTTTCATAGTTGTTTTAAAAAAATTATAATCTGGGATCAACTTAATTAATTTTTTTTATTAGTGGCTTTGTTGGCGCGCTCAAGAAAATGTCAGGGGAAAAAAAAAACCGAAACGCCGACCAGTCTCGTCCTGACCTTATGTAAGCGCCGGTTCAAAATCCAATCCCACGCGCTAAAGGACGACACTGTAACACACGCACCCCTCTAGTGCTGACTAGAATTGGACGTGACCTTCGGAGAAAAGACACTCGGGAGAGAAATAACATGCGAAGACGAACAAACGGAGAAGACGAAGAAAAATAACGCAGTCGTTCGAAACCTTAAAAATCTCGGATTTTCCATCACGCGAGAGCTCGAGTTCACTATATTTCTATGGAAGAAGAGAGACGATTAGGAGATGAGCTCTCGCTCGCTGTCGTGACGGCGGAGCGACTCCGTCAGGCTGCCGACGAGGCTGAGTCGTTCAAATTGGAATGTGGAGAAGTCGGAAAGCAAGTTGATCGGCTTGCCCAGATGCTCAGAACCCTGGTTCGTCTCGTTACTGGTTCCGTACATATCTACGATCGACCAATTCATCGCGTCATCGTCGAGGTTCAAAAGAATCTGGAGCGAGCTTTGGCTCTGGTTCGGAAGTGCAAGGGGCATAGCATAATCAGGCGGGTTTGCTCCATCACCAACGCCGCCGATTTCCGCAAGGTGATCAACCTTCTGGAATCTTCCAACGGTGATGTGAAATGGCTTCTCAGCGTGTTTGATTCCAATGGGGACGATAGCTTCGGCGGAGGAATCAACATCTCTCTCCCTCCGATTGCCACGAACGACCCGATTCTCCCCTGGGTCTGGTCGTTGATCGCGTCGACTCAGATGGGTCGGTTTCCGGACAAAATTGAGGCAGCGAACCAGCTTGGTTCGCTTGCGCGAGACAATGACAGGAACAAGAAGATCATTGTCGATGAAGGAGGTATTCCTTCTCTGCTGAGGCTTCTGAAGGAGAGCTCGTCGGTGGAGGCGCAAATTGCGGCGGCAACGACGTTACGGTTCTTGGCTTCAGACCAGGATAAGGTAAAGGCCATTGTTAGCGAGCTCGGTGTCCCGATCATAGTTCAAGTTCTGGGTGATTCTCCGATAAGGGTCCAGATAAAGGTGGCTGATTTGGTGGCAAGAATGGCGGAGCATGATGATGTAGCTCAAGACGAGTTTGCCCGGCAAAGCGTGATCAGGCCATTGGTTACGCTGCTTTCGCTGGATGTGTTTCTTGACGATCTTCAATTGAGTAAGCATAATAGCATTCGTTCTCTTGTGCAGATGAATAAAGAAATCGATAGAGATCCGTCACAGAAGAGTTACAACTACAAGTCATATATGAGTTCCAATTCCAGTGTATACAGTGACACTGGTGGTGGTAGAGCTGGCCATTATCACAGGAAAGAAAGAGAGAGTGAGAATCCTGAGGTGAAACATCAGCTTAAGGTTAGTTGTGCAGAAGCTCTATGGAAGCTAGCCAGGGGGAATGTAGCAAATAGCCGAAGGATAACCGAGACAAAAGGGTTACTTTCCTTAGCTAAGTCAGTGGAAAAAGAAGTCGGAGAATTGCAGTACAATTGCTTGATGACGCTGACGGAGATTACCGCCGCTGCAGAATCAAGTGCAGACCTTAGACGTGCGGCTTTCAAGACCAATTCCCCGGCTGCTAAGGCAGTTGTTGACCAAATGCTATGGCTACTTATCCAAGTGGATAGCCCCTTTCTGTTGGTCCCTGCAATTAGATCAATCGGGTCATTGGCTCGGACATTCCCCGCAAGGGAGACAAGAATAATCAAACCTTTGGTCATGAAACTTGGTTGCCCTAATCAGGAAGTGGCCATGGAAGCTGTGGTTTCGCTCCAGAAATTTGCTTCTCATGAGAACTTCCTCTGCGCAGAGCACTCCAAGGCTATAATTGAATTCGGGGCAATCCCATCAGTGATGAAACTGATAAGGAACAGCGATCAGCAAGTGCAGTTACAATGTCTGATTCTACTCTGTTACTTTGCCCTGAATGCTAGTAACCATGAACAACTGGAGCAGGCAAAGGTTTTATCTGCACTTGAAGGGGCTGATCGAGTGGTAATTTCCCAGAATCCCGATTTCAAAGAACTTGCGACCAAAGCAATATACCAGCTCAGTCTCTACAATGTTGGATTACACAGCCAAATTCTCTCATACGTTGGGCCATGAGATTCGGTCAGTTCCTTAATATCGGACTGGCAATATAGTGTTTCTTCTTCTGATTGGGTCGGTGGTAGAGCCGTGTAGGATGTACAAACTGGATTAGCGGGCAAGAACAGAACCTGGTTTGGTGTTGATTACGTATGTATACACATTTTCCAGAACTGTCTTGTAATGGAAAACTTTGGATAGATGGTTGGTTAATAATCTAGGGTTTGTTCTTTGTCTGTAAATTCATCACCATTGTTTCTTGTTTCAGCTCCACATGCCTTGTGAAGTTATGCAGAAGCTTTGGAAGACTTCAATGCTCGATCTAGAAGTTGGATACAGATAAAACACAAGCTGATTCACTGATCAAACAGAAACAGAGAAATTTGATTTGTTTACAGAAAAGAAAAGAAAAACTTGTGCTTAAACATACAAAAGCATCATCATCATGGCTCTTGAGGGTGAGTTGTGGTCTTGCCTCGTTCTGTCACGCTGTTTTCCGCGAATTTTAAACTCCCGAGATGCAGATTACGTTCTTTCTCCTTCAAGTTCCACTCGGAAAGATAGTAGTCTTCTTCCGTAACTCGTCGGGATGAGGGAGGACAGAACATACCGCCCCATTGCGGGAAGTATATGAAGCATATCGGTATTGAACAGGCGATTGTCATCACCCCCATTAGGGTTATACCAGTCTCTTTCGAGTAGCTCGATCCTTTGAAGAAGATCAACTGAGTTAGGACAGCTCCTACATTGCCTCCAGCTCCTGTCATGCCGGATATCACCCCGAGTGATCTGTCTCGACAAGTCAACATGATCATCAGTGAATCAAGAATTGTCATGTAGAAAAGGTATTATGAAGATTTCATCTTATCTTGATGAATTTGTGAAAGATGATTACCTTCTGGATATGAAAGGAACAACTCCAAAGGTAAGCCCACATGCAGCTTGGACGAATACAGAGAAGATTATCATGACGAGTATGGACCATGTTAATGATCCGAGTAGTCCGAGAATCAGACAGAAAACACCTCCTAGTGTCTGAACCACCCACCATGCCCATAACCTTCCCCTCATTCCGAACCTCTGAGCCATCACATCCGACAAGATTCCTCCACCGGGACGAGCAACCAAGTTGGCTAACCCGAAACTTGCGGCTATCATCCCGGCCGTGTGGAGTTCCAGGTTGAACCTGTCGTAGAAATACTCTGCGATTATGTTGTCAATTGTCAGCTCCACTCCGAAACAGTAGCCATAGGCGAGAGCTGTGATCCATCCTCTGTAGTTGGAGACGCCATGGAATATAACCTTCCATATGTTGTCTTTTTCTTTCACTCCTGATTTCTGAAGCTTCGAGTAGTCTCCGTCCGGTAGATCCTTTTCAATGGAGAATCGTACCATATTACAGAGTCAGTTGAAATAACTCTTAACACATCCAGTTTCCTCACAAACCCATTATCCATTCGTGTTTTTCTCTTATGATTTTGTTCATGTATAATTGAATGAGCAGGGGAGATGACTGGTTGAACAAGGGTTTCTGACATGAATACCTGTCCGAAGATGAGAACGGCAAAAGCAGAAAACGTCTGAAACAGACCAGGGATGAAGAAAGCGATCCTCCAAGCGGTGAATTTCTTCACACCGATGCTCCGAATGATCGCGAAAACCACCGGCATGATTAGCTGCGTGGCGCCGCCACCGAGGTTCCCCCAACCGGCGGCGATGCCGTTTGCCGTCCCGACGACGGGTCCGGAGAACATGGAGCTCATCCAGAACTGGGTCGAGACGAAAGTGGCGAGAGAGAATCCGGTGAAGAACCTAACGAGCAGAAAACCCGTCGGAGACTTGACGGTGGCGGTGAAGAACACGGCCGGGGCGGTGGAGAGGGTGAGCGCGGCGGAGGCGATGCGGGGGCCGAAGAGGTCGCATGCGGTGCCCATGGCGAGCCTGGCGGCGACGGCGCCGGAGACGGAGGCGATACCGGCGTTGCCGATGTCGGAGGCGGTGAGTCCGAGGTCGTCGCGTATGATTGGGAGCAGAGGAGGTGCGGCGAAGGTGGAGACGAAGCAGCTGAAGAATTGGATCCATGAGAGGTGGAAGGCTCTCATGTGTGGCTTAGCCACCGATAATAGCCGTAAAGTCGTCGCCTTGTGCTCCGAGTCCACCGGAAGGGCGAATCTTTTCGCCGGCGAAACTCTTTGTTCATCGCCGGGGATGTCCATTCTTGAAGAGGATATCATAAATTTTAAGCAGGATTTCACATTTACTCCATGCAGCTTTTGTAGAGTCTAGGTATCTCCAACTTGTGCATATTATTATTATTTTTGGAATCTTGAACTAGATATATATCGATCGATATATGATAGTTTTAGAAAGTATCTAAAATTTCTGGTACGATTATTGTATTTTGAGGTCTTTAATGACTATTTCCCTAAGTTTGGAATGATTCGGTATAAATTTTAAGTATGTTTAAATTATTCGTCACATTTAAATTTAATAAATTCGAATGAACCTTTATATATCGGTCAACATACGACACTTTTAGAAAATATCTAAAATTTATAGTATGATTATTAAAATTTTGAGGGTTTTAATGACTCTTTCTTTAAGTTTGGAATGATTATGTATAAAATTTAAGTATATTTAAATTATTCATCACATTTGAATTTAATAAATTCGAATGAACCATATACATCGGTCAACATATGACATTTTAGAAAATATCTAAAACTTATGGTACGTATTATTGCATTTTGAGGTTTTAATAATTCTTTTTCTGAATTTGAAATGATTGTGTATAAATTTTAAGTATGTTTAAATTATTCATCACATTTGAATTCGAATGAACCTGTATATAACAGTCAATGTATGTCATTTTTAGAAAATATCTAAAATTTATGGTACGTATTATTGCATTTTGATGTTTTTAATGAATATTTCTTTAAATTTAGAATGATTATGTAAATTTTAATTATGTTTAAATTATTCATCACATTTGAATTTAAAAAATTGTAATGAATTTAAAAAATTTGAATGAATTGAAAAATATATCATACATATTTTTTAATGTTTGGATCGATATATATATGCATTTTAACTTTTTTTTTTCATAAATTTTTATAAAGTTTGAATAATTAATCTATTTTTTTTAACCATACAACGTACTTGTCCATCGAGTTACAATCTAAACTTGGATTACCCTTCATAAAAAAACATATTAAAAATATTTTATATATGTTTTTATGTTTATTTTAAAAGTAGATTCATAAATTTTGAATTTATTTCGATTTAGTTTTTGTAAACGATAATTTAATCAACCTTTTCTTCTATTTTTATATATCAAATTATAATATATATTTTTTACATATTAGTTTTGAAAAAAGTCATAAATTTGATCTAATATATAACAAATTAGGTGTTAGATTTTTCTAATATAACTATCTTAGTCTCTTTATAAAAATCAAATTGCTATCTGGTCATTCACATTCACACTTGAAAGAATCAAATAATGGGTTAAAAATTTAATTCTGAATATTCGGTGGGTCCTCCTAAAGATGTTGACCTTTTCGTGTGATGAATCTTGGGCACTCGGGCGACTCATTGACTTTGGATCCACACGAGATTCTTATTCTCTTGGATAGTGAAAAGACTAAAAGGCCCCTCTCACTCGAACCAATCCTCGGGTTTTATGTTTTTTCCCCTTCCCCTTTTAATTTTATTGGACCCTATAAAATGAATCTATTTCATGATTAAAAAAAAAGTCATCATGAAAATGGAAGATATAATGTATAAAATTCGAAAAAATAATGAATATTGATATTGTTCACTATAAAACTTGTTATCTATATGTATAATCGAATTTATAAAAAAATTTATTTTGTGCGTGTTCACTTATAACTCAACCATAAAGGTCTGCATTAGACAAAAATAAACTTATGTCATAGTGATATGAGAAAAAAAACTATTAACACAATGGTATATATACATGGCTACAAGATAACAGGGTGGTTGACTCAACTGCTAAGTGGGTATGCGCAAAGAGTGTTCCATCCAGTTCGAACCCCACCATTGGCAAATCACATATTATATAAAAAAAGATAGTAGGGTAATTCGGTCTTTTAACAATCAGATGTGAATTATCATGGGAAGAATATTCTACCACGTTGACATTTCTATCACAACTTTGGCGTGATTGCTGCTCCACTCTCGTTGACATTTGGAGCTATGAAAATAACTACAAAGTGCATATTCCTCACGACACCTAAGATTCTAAGTTACTATTTTAACGAGTGATTTTCAATATTCAACTTGTAATAAAATATCTCCAAGCAAAAAAAAATTTTCAAATCAATAAATTATTATAAATATACAACTTATGTTAAAAAAATATTAGTATAATGTCTTTCATGACTTTTCCACCGCTTATTATTTGGTTTCGGTTGTTTTAATACGCTGAGCCATGGTACCTAATGAGCCATAGGGCCTGAAAGAGTCGTGCCTAGATAAATTATAATGGGCCGTAAATGGGCCAATAGACCCAATTCGGAAAATGGACTAAAGAGCCAGAAAATAGATTTGGGTACACATGGGCTTATTCAAACATGGGCCACGAGGCCCAATTTGGTTCTACAAAAAACACACATATATATATATATATATATATATATATATATATATTCTTGGAAGATATTTATACTCTTGTTTGTTCTTATTAAAATTGAAAGCCGGTGAATTTCGATTGACATGATTTAATTAGGCATTGGATTACATAACAGGAGAGATGATTGAACTGAAGGCGTTATAATCATGGAACTAAACTAATTATCCGGTCCGGTGACGGACTCGAACGGAATTTATATTTGTACATTTCATATAAATTCTTTATTTAGTATATCGATGAAAACTGAAATGATGTTGAAATTCTCTAATTAAAAAACAGAAAAACAAATAACAAAAAATCAGAAGAGAAAGTAGTAAGGTCGAAGAGGAAGAAGGGAAGAGAGGGGCGAAGACGGGGAAAAAAAAGGTGTTGGGGAATGCAGTGAATGGAGTTGCAGAGGAAGGTAGCTGAAGCAATCCATGTCCTGAATCACGATCCCGAGTCATCGAACCGAGTCGCTGCAAATCAATGGCTCGTTCAGTTCCAGCAAACTCCGGCGGCTTGGGACGTCGCTACCTCTCTCCTCACTTCTCCCGTCGTCTCTATCTTCGACCTCCAATTCTTCGCCGCACAGATTCTCCGGCGAAAGGTTTGCTTTTTCCTCCGATTTCGATCTGCCCACCAAAATTTATCTTCCTCTGGTTAAACCCTTTTTTCTGTCTTCTTGTTTGGGTTCTTTTCAGATTCAGAACGAAGGGTCGTACTTGCAGCCGGCGGAGAAGGATGCCCTTCTGAATGCCCTTCTTATCGCCGCCAATAGATACAGCTCCGGTGTTCCTCAGGTACCCTTTTCGCCGGAGATCGGGTCGTTGTTAGTACAATTAAGGATTGGGTACGCGAGCGTGTGTGATTTTGGTGGAAATTTCGCAGCTTCTTACGCAGATATGTCTTGCTCTCTCGGCTCTTCTTCTCCACGCGGACCCGTATTCGAAGCCCTTTGAGAAGCTCATGTTCTCTCTACAGAATCTTCAGACGCATGACGATGGAAATGTTGCTGTGCTCGAGCTGCTCACTGTGCTTCCTGAAGAACTATCAGACACCCGCCATTTTTCCCAACATTCTGATCTTCGTCGAGAGGTTCATTCTCTTTCCTTCTACCCTTCAAAAGCTCTTTTCTTTCATTCAGCTTGCTTCATGATGATTTCCGTCTCTGTAACAGCTGCTTTCGCATACTCCTATGGTTCTGGACTTCCTTCTCCAGCAGTCTGAGAAGCAGCTTGCTACCGGCACTTTGTATCCCCATGACAACAACCGCAAGATACTTCGTTGCTTATTGAGTTGGGTATGAAGCTTTTTGTACATCTTTTTGTATCTCAACAGTGTTTTTTCTGGATCTCACTTTTGTGTTGGGGTCATTCCTCTTAGGTCCGTGCTGGGTGTTTCTCAGAGATTCCACAAGGCGCACTGCCTGCACATCCCCTTCTCAATTATGTATTCGGTGCTCTGCAGGTGACTGCCATTAGCAGCATGGTTGCAATTACTATCATTATCCAAGGTTTATTATGTCCATTGAAGTTAATCTTCCTTTTCTTTTTTGTATTGTTTTCGATTTCTATGTGTCACATAGGTTGCTACTTCGTTTGATCTTGCCATTGAAGTGCTTGTTGAACTTGTGACTCGGCATGAGGTTTGTTTAGATTACATTCAGTAGGCGTCATTTTCTTGTATGCTGCAATCTTGAAATTCTATTTTCTACATATTGTACAGATCAGCAAATGTGACATGGCATGCAATGACTAGAATTTATTCATGTTTGACCATCAGACTTGTCAGTTCTTCTGCTGTATTTATTAGTTGAGTAAATTGCACCTTGCAGGATCTACCGCAGGTTTTACTGTACAAAGTACAGTTTCTGAGAGATACACTTCTGAAACCAGCTCTCATGAATGCTGATCACAAAATTGTCTCTGGCCTTGCATGCTTGATGTCTGAGATCGGGCAAGCTGTGAGATCTAATCTAACTTAGCATTTTTTTTCTTCATAATTTTGTATTCTAGTGACTTTAATCTGTTGTCACTACTGGATATGCTGCATTTGATGAGGCTCATGTGAGTTTTCAATGTGTACTAGGCACCTTCCTTGATCATAGAAGCAAGTTCTGAAGCGCTTGTTCTTACAGATTCCCTCTTGAGGTTGATTTTCAATCTTTTGCCATTCTATACATATCCCTTTCAATTCTATTTGCTCTAGTTACCTGTTCTGGTTTGGGATTCATTTTCCTAAAAACTATTCATGTGAATATACCTCGTGCATTCTTCTTGAATATTTATAGAAGAAATAGTGTTCACGACCCCGTTGTGTAACTATAGTTATTGGTAGACAGAGAATAAGATGTAGATTGCAAAGTGTAGAAATATATTCTCTTTGTTTTTATTGTCCTTCATTACTTGAATTTTGGATAGAGAAACCAGCACAACCGACATCAAATCCAATTCAAATATGTAAAATTGCACTTGTCGATGTTTAGGTGACCACATGCTTATTTTGTTGATCTCACGTTTTTCTCCATACATGGCATGCTAGATTCCCAGATTCTTAAATTTACTCTGTTCTTCAATTTTATGATTTTTGTTTACTGTCCATTGATTACATTGGCAGTTGTGTGATGTTCCCAAGTGAAGATTGGGAGATAGCAGACTCAACTGTACAGTTTTGGTATAATATTTCTTAATACCTTTTCATTTCCCTTTGCAATCTTCTACTCCCTATTCATATTTTTCTTCTGATATCAGCAGAAGCTTGTGATAGCCTCTCTTATTGATATGATCTATTTAAGGCTATTAGAAGTGTTTTGATCTTGTTAGTCTCTCAAGATTATCTGATATCTTGAGTTAGGCTTGTTTACATGTGTTCGATTTTACAAGTCGTTAAGCAACTTTAGAATTGAAGGGCTTGTTGGGCTCTGACAATTTACTCCATAAATTACTCGATATTTCTTTTAGCTTCAATTGGCTTCTCTAGCTGTCAGGTTCAGACAATCGTTAATTACAAGCTGTTGCGAATGTAACACATAGAATAGTTGATTGTCCAGCAAACTCCTTTTCCCTTTAAAACCTTCTTTTTTATGTCAAAGAGTTTTTGTGTTAGGAGAAGACTCAATTCCTACCAAACAGCAATTCATTTTTTAGAAGTTAGATTATTATTTTCCATTAATGGATAGCAATTCCTTGAGCTTACACTCAATTCAATTTATGTTTAGGTCAACTTTTGCGACATATATACTTAGCAAAGGCGACGACAGACAGAATGGCATATTTCTACCAGTTTTCTCAGCCTTAGTTGATGCTCTTGTGTTGCGTGCTCAGGTTACGTTCTGGAATATTTTTTAGTTGTAATTTCTCTTTCAATTTTAAATGTTCAGAAGTTATCACATTGATTCTAGAACCAGTGATAAATTGAAACATGTCTAGATTTAACACATTTTCTTTTCACCTTGCATATGTTCCTTCTTATTTAGTTCTCCTTAATGTTTAGATTGTTAATCATTAAGCTTCTAAAATAACCTCTTTGAAGTACGTTATCATATAATTTCAATGTTTTGCCATTTACAGTTTTTTGCATCATCAATCTTGCCCTAACATAGTTTTACCCATATTACAGTCGTTGATAAATTGGTAGCTGGCCTACTAAATAAAATCAGAGTTTGAGTTTTCAGCTTTCTGAGTACATCCATGTGGTGAAAAATTGTTTGTCACATGTATTTTAGTCTTTTAGCACTTCTAATAGTGTTTTGTGATTCTTAAGTTTCTTAGCAATCTTTCTCTTCAGGTTGACGAGTTTACATCAAATGATGAAAGCCCAGGGCTTGACCTTCCTGATGGTCTAATGCATTTTAGGAATAATCTTCTTGAGCTCTTGGTAGATCTTTGTCAGCTACTACACCCCACCACATTTGTGCATAAGGTTCGTTTTTGCAATTCGAGTTCATTAGATGGTCAAATACTTGATATGTGACAATATTGTATGACAAATTTTGTAGCTTGTAGACATCATTTGCTCTAGATCTGAACATCTTTAGACAGGATCATGTTGATCACGATACCTCCTTTCTTATTTCTATATGTTATTGCTTTTCAGGTGATTGATCCATTTTTGAACTGCTTGCTGTATAAAAGTTGACATTATTGTGGTTCATTACCATATGAGTCTCAAAACTTTGGTGGCTCATTGTGTTTGCTTATAGGACCTCAGCAAAGTTACTTCTTGTGTGCCTTCTCTGGACTTTGCCATTGCCTTGTTGTACCAATCAAAAGAAACATATATACCATTCTGTCCTTGAGTTCCGTGGTCCTGTGCTTATATTGAGTTAGATGGTGACATGGGATTTGCCATTTACTCTTTTTTATCTGTAAAATAGTATATCTTTTCCTCTATTCTATTTCAGTTTTTTCTTTTCTAATAATTGCAGTTACTTTTTGGCGGTTCATCTTCTTCAAATGTTCCAATATCCTTGAGGGAGGTTGAGGCAAAGTTGTTTGCTCTTAACGCGGTGAGCCCACTATATTTCTACCAACATCTTGCGAACAGCTACGGCTCGTGAAATGTTCACGAATATTTGTTTTCTAGTTCTCACCTTTATCTAAAATGGGTTTACTTTGTCAGGTTTCTGAAATAATCTTGCAAGAAGGGGATGCTTTTGACTTCTCGCTGATTATGCAATTGGTTTCTATTCTCTCAGCTAGGCCCTCCACTGAGCTCAAGGGGTTCATATGCATTGTATGTCGGTTAATACTCTTGCCTTTATTCTAGTCTATTATTACTCTTGTATTATTAATCCAATCAACATTTGACAATAATAAGCTTTTAGGTATTCAGATCACTTGCAGACGTCATTGGCTCCTATTCGAGGTGGATCACTGCTTTTCCAAGTAACACAAGGCCCTTGCTGTAAGGCAACCTTCTTCTTTAACTATTTGCAAATGGAAAATAAAAAATTCTGGTTCTATTTACTTGTATAGAGTATACTGTCTTTCAATTTCATTACTGTGTTCGTTGTTCACAGTTTTTAATATCTTTATATTTCTTTCTTTATGGCTTTTCTGATCGTCCTAAGGAGAGTATTTTGTGTACTTTTCACCTGGATTCCGGGGTTTGGTGCATTGTTCTTGTGCTAATTCACTTCTTTCAGATTATTCCTTGCAGGAGGAATCTCAGAATCTCTATGCTCGCATGCGTGTGCTTCTGCTCTGCGTAAACTTTGTGAAGATGCTCCAGCTGTTATCCAGGAACCATCGAATCTAGATATTTTAATGTGGATAGGGGAGGTATCAACTTCGTCTGTCCTTTTTTTCTCTAACTGCTTAACAGTTCGCAAGTCATCTTCTGAATCATGCTAAGATAACATCTATACAGTTCGTTTGTTGTGAAATATTCTATTTACATTTGTGTTTTCTTCTTAAATATTTATATTGGGGGCTTCTATTTACAGCTTAGCATTTCCTTTTCTGTAGTCATTTAACAATTACATGGTGAATGGCCTTATCCTTTCCATAACTCATAGTTCCCCGTTTGATGATTGATAAATAAGGTTGTGTGATTTTATGATAAACAACAAATTCTTTCAGGGAAATCTTTAATGAAGTTTCTCCTAGGTTGTTGTGGGGCTTCTTTTGGAGTTGTCCTTTTTCTTATTTATTTTGAAGACTAAAGAGCTCATTGACAACATTTTTGTGCCTCAGCCTATCTTATATATTTGTTTTCTTGTGTGTCCTGAAAATTTACGTCCTTCCATTTTCTTTTCTGTGAAACTGTTATATGCTGATTCTAATGTTTCTTTTGTTCTTACTGTCCCTTAGTGTCTGGAACAGAGAACTTTACCCTTGGAAGATGAGGAAGAAGTCATAAGTGCGATCAGTGTGATCCTTGGTTCTGTTACCAACAAAGAGCTACAAAATAAATTATTAACTCAATTGCTTTCTTCAAGTTATGCAGCACTTGCAAAGCTTGTAAGTTTCCGGTACCTTGTTGATGTTGAGTCCTGGTTTCAATTTTCTTGTCATGATGAATCATCTTACTGCCAGATATACTTTTCTTTGTTTTCTGCGTAGATTTGTTTCACCATCAAATTGACACCATCCAAATAGAAGCTGTACTAATACCTTTGTCTTGTTAGGTAGATGATGACGATAACTTTTCAGCTAGACAGGATCCAGCCACTTACACCCGAACTCTGAGCTGTGTTACAAGAGGCCTTTACAGGTTTTTCTACCATGACTATTGTGTTCAATGTTGTCTGTGGACGTGATGAGTCTAGAAACTTGAGTTATCTGCTTGTGTAGGGACTTAACTTATGTCTATAGAGGAGCTAATTATTGCTGCTGGTATTTTGATTAAAATCTGGTTAAGAACTCTGAAGAAAAGATCCATGGGAATGTTTTAGCTTCCATGCACACAATAGCAACAAGATCAAACACAAAAGTTTACCCGTTTGCGTCTCTTGTGTGTTGCAGTCTGTTGCTATGCTATGGATTCTAGGCCTACTCTCATTCTGATAAACTCTTATGCCCGATGTCCTAGTTAACCGACTTGAGACTTAGAAATTTCCTATCTTTTATTCAGACCATAGGGAATCAGCTTCCATTCTTCTCTTTAAAAATTGTGCGAGAAATAGAATTCTTCGAAACCTGTATAATTTTTCATCAAGTGGGAGTTATGTTTTAAGCTTTTATATTCTTGAAACAATGTGTAAGTAGCTCCAGATATCACCATGTATTCTCCGAGTGGATTATCAACATCTTTAATAGCAATATAGGTATCTGAATCTGAATAAGCTGAGCCTGATGGCTGACATGCAGTTGTGTCTCATGTCTATGTACAAGATTCATATGGATTATCATATTGATGAATATGCTGTCTACTGACCCCATGAATCAGGATTGGAACTGTATGCAGTCACCTTGCGACAGCTCTGCCATCTGGATCCATGGCAGATGGTCCAATTCTTTCTCTGCTGACCGTTTTTTGGCCCATTTTGGAGAAACTATTTAGCTCTGAACACATGGAGAGTAGTAGTTTATCTGTAGCAGCATGCCGTGCTCTTTCAGTTGCAGTTCAGTCATCAGGTTTCAAACTTCTCATTTCTTTATTCACTTCAGTTACTTGCTGTGTAGGGTTTTTCTGTAAGGGCTAAAAAGAGGAAAGCAGATTGTTTTTAGTCAAAATAGTTTACAACTCGAAAGCCTTCTTGAGATGGTGGACAACTTCTTGCAATATCAGCCTATTAATATTTTCATTTATGTCCTTATCCCTTTGCTTCTAAAAGCCTGAATGTGCCCTTTTGCTTGCGTTATAGAAGGATATATATATATATATATATATATATATAAAATTTGCAAGTCCATATGGCTTTGGAACCGTTACCAGCTCAATCTCTCACATTCTTAGGTTTTGCTAAACATCTAACACCTGGAATTTGCATCGTTTATAGGTGAGCACTTTATGGTACTACTACCCAATGTACTGGATTGTCTATCGAGAAACTTCCTTTCCTTTCAAAGCCAAGAATGTTATATAAGAACAGGTGAGGATATTTAAAGTCTCAGGCTCGTTGTAGGATGTGAATTTATAAATCTTCTTAGTCCTAATTCATGATATCTCGCTTAAAGCCTTAATGTTTCAATAAGTTTCTCTTCTGATATATATACCTGGTAAAAATGTAGTGGATGGCTAAATGTACAATTCAAAAGCAGCCAATTTTAATACTATTTGCTGACAATGGTCCATTGCCATGTTTAGCTTTTCATCATAGAGTATATTTGCTTGTCTTAATTCATGGAATTCTTGGCTTCTTGTTTTCGCGCTACTTTTGATGTTACTTCTATAGGATGGTCATAATGATATTTAGTTGCACAACCTTCTGGCCAAACAGTGATTTCTAATGGTTATTCTTGTATTCTGACATTTGCTTTTCCCGTATTCATTTATCACAACCTCAGCATGTGTGATAGCCGAAGAATTTTGTCATAAGGAGGAATACGGGCCCTTGTTCATCACTGCTTTTGAGAGATTTACTCGAGCATCGTCAGTGATGGGTATAAATTCATCATACATATGTGACCAAGAGCCTGATTTGGTCGAAGCCTATGTGAACTTCGCAGCAGCCTTGACACACAGTTGTCATAAGGTTTTGCTTTGATTTCATGTGATTTTATCTCATCATTCTTCAGGACACTCTTTGCTTACGTTTCGGCTGTTTCTGCTTTTCGGTGAACCAGGAATTGTTGGCTACTTCTGGTACGCTTCTTGAAATTTCCTTCCACAAGGGAGCTATTTGTTGCACGGCTATGCACCGAGGTGCTGCGTTAGCCGCAATGTCATACTTATCGTGTACGTGATATATTTTTTTCGTGAAGAACCTCTGTGAAATATCATTCTTGAATTCTAACTTCTTTCTTTTTCGGTTTCTTTGGTCATCATATTTGCTGTATTTGGGTTTTCTAACTTCCACTTGTGAAATATGGTTCTTGAATTCTAACTTTCCTCTTTCGTTTCCGGGGTTTTCTAGGTTTCTTGGAGGTAGCACTTTCTTCCTTGATTGAAAACGTGAATTTCATATCCGAAGGATCGTTCAGCGCTGTGGCCATCCAGGTTGTTTCTCACTGTGGGGAGGGACTCCTGTCCAATTTGGTGTATGCTCTGCTTGGTGTTGCAGCTATGTCAAGGGTACAGATTCTCCTACATATTTCTGCAGATTGATCTTTAATGGGCAGATTCAGGATTCAATAATCTCGTACTTTTTTTTTCTGAAGTAATCAATGTTTTCCACATAATAAACAACTTCATTCCATGATGGGTGCCTTTTTTTTTCAATTCTTCACTTGATTTTTCATTCCGGGTTCTGCTTCACTAGGTCCATAAATGCTCGACAATCCTGCAACAACTGGCTGCAATTTGCAGTTTATGCGAGAGAACATCTTGCAAAAGCATGCTGTGTTGGGAATCCCTCCAAGGATGGTTAAGCTCAGCGGTCTCTCTCTCTCTCTCTCTCTACACGCTAATACCGATGCTAATGTGTTGAAGGAGCAAAAGAACATCACGCTTACAAGCTGTGAATGCGAGTTTTTCAGGTGTGGGCATTGCCGAGCGAGTATCTAAAACAGGGGGAAGCAGAGAGCATAGTGAGGGAGTGGTCGGAAGCGCTGGGTGGTGCTGCCATTGATTACCTCGAAAGCAAGAGGAACAACAACAACAACCATAACCATGGTGGCCATATGCAAGGGAAACACGGTAGGACGTTGAAACGATTAGTTAGAGAATTTGCCGATTCTCATCGGAATGATCCAAACCCAAACATTCTATGAATTGAAAAAAAAAACCCTTTTTTTCCAGTGGGGGAGTTTTGCATGAACTCTCTCCCCTTCCTTAGCTTCTCCATTGATGTACAGACCTCACCATTTCTGTACCATCCAAATCTAAAAAGTCAATTCCTCTTTTTACTCTTGCTTTATCGAAATAAGCATCTGCAGCTACATTGGCTTTCTTGTTCTTATTTGTGTATCAGCTGAAATGCCCAGCTTCATTACAGGAGATAAAGATGGTGGGTTGTGGTCTTGATTGTGCATGTGGACGTTCAAACCCAAACCCTAGGATGAGTCCCATGCACACGTTCGCTTGTATGAACTTTACACAAAACAAAAGGCATTTACGTTTATTTTTGTCTTAAAAGACTTGGTTTTGGTTCTTGCATGTTGTTTCCATTACCATTATTGATTCTTAAAATGAATAGAGTGCATTTAAAGCACTACAATTTGTGAGCATTTTAAAGCAAAGACCTGAGAATGTGGAATAAGACAAGGAATCACCAGCAGTAGTAAAGTAACTGTGGTTAACGACGGGGAAATCTAGTGGAGCGAGTAAAGTGGGTTCCAATCTACTTCGTGTCTGTGCACGTGAGACTCACGTGGTCTGAACGTGTAGTGGGAGAGTAGGAAAAAAGGGGAAAAACCCTAAAGGAGCTCGTTTTCACGGGAGGCTGTGGGTGGGAGTCACTGATTGGGTACAGAGAGAGAGAGAGAAGGTAAGTTTGGTCGCAAGAATCTGATATCTCTGCTTATTGATGATCAATCTTTTGTTCATCTTTAGCTTTTCATCTCTTTGAGTTGCTATTTTTTCCATTTCTCTTGTGGAAATTTCATTCAAATCTGGGTTCTTTTGCACTAAATCAATCTGGTGACTTCAGTTGACCAATCTGTTTTTGTTGTCCGGAAACTTCATGCTGGTCAAAGAAAAACATAAGGGAAGCTTAGATTCTCATTTCTGATTGTCAGAAATTGTTTTTTTCTTTGTAGTTCATTGTTCTTGATTCCCGTGCTCCGTCTCAAGCTCGAAGAAATGGCAGACCAAGAATCCGATAAGAACATCGAGATTTGGAAAATCAAGAAACTAATTAAGGCCCTCGAATCTGCCAGAGGTAATGGAACCAGTATGATTTCTCTTATAATGCCTCCTCGCGATCAGATATCTCGTGTCACAAAGATGCTTGCTGATGAGTATGGAACTGCTTCCAACATTAAGAGTCGAGTCAATCGTCAGTCTGTCTTGTCCGCGATAACATCTGCTCAGCAAAGGTTGAAACTTTACAACAAGGTCCCTCCCAATGGTCTTGTTCTTTACACTGGTACCATAGTTACTGAAGATGGCAAGGAAAAGAAAGTAACTATTGACTTTGAGCCCTTCAGGCCGATTAACGCTTCCTTGTACCTCTGTGACAATAAGTTTCACACTGAAGCTTTGAATGAACTTCTGGAATCTGATGACAAGTTTGGTTTCATTGTCATGGATGGAAACGGTACCCTGTTCGGCACACTGAGTGGGAATACAAGAGAGGTTCTTCACAAGTTTACTGTTGATCTCCCAAAAAAGCATGGAAGAGGAGGACAGTCTGCCCTCCGTTTTGCTCGTCTTAGGATGGAGAAGAGGCATAACTATGTGAGGAAGACTGCAGAGCTTGCTACTCAGTTCTTTATTAACCCGGCTACGAGTCAGCCCAATGTAGCTGGTCTCATACTTGCCGGTTCAGCTGACTTTAAGACAGAGCTCAGCCAATCTGATATGTTTGATCCTCGTCTCCAAGCTAAGATATTGAATGTGGTTGATGTTTCCTATGGAGGAGAAAATGGGTTCAACCAAGCAATTGAGCTGTCCGCTGAGATATTATCTAATGTGAAGTTCATACAGGAGAAGCGTTTGATCGGGAAGTACTTTGAGGAGATTAGTCAAGACACTGGGAAATATGTCTTTGGTGTAGAGGATACCTTAAAGGCTCTCGAAATGGGTGCAGTCGAAATCCTTATAGTGTGGGAGAATCTGGATGTAAACAGGTATGTTCTTAAGAACAGCACTACCGGGGAAATAATCGTGAAGCACTTAAACAGGGATCAAGAGGCTGATCAAAGCAATTTCCATGACCCAACCACCAATGCGGAGCTAGAAGTTCAGGAGAAGATGCCTCTACTCGAATGGTTTGCCAATGAGTACAAAAAGTTCGGCTGTACTCTGGAATTTGTTACCAACAAATCCCAAGAAGGGTCACAATTTTGCAGAGGTTTCGGTGGTATTGGTGGCATACTTCGTTACCAGCTTGACATGAGGTCATTCGATGAATTATCTGACGGGGAAGAAGCCTACGAGGATTCTGATTAATCAGAAATATCGGTGCTGTTTCATACTGAAGCTTTGCCCTTGTGATACAAAATCTTATATTCCACGTTTTCTATTACTCCCTCGAGGTGCCTCCCAAGAAGGGTTGAAGGTAAAAGGGAATAGAACGAGAGAGAAGTCAGAATATGTGGCTGCATACCTTTACTCTGTCTTTGTTTGTGTACCCTTTTGATTGATTTTCATTTCGCCTCTTTCTTGAAGTTGTCGAGACAATTTATTTGCTTCGTGAAGAGCAGACACGATGTGCCTCCTTGAAGAACATTTACAGCGTTGAAGAAACTTCAGCATTTCATGTTTCATCTTGTTCTTGTTCTTGTTCTGTAACACTTTTTTTTTGTTATCTGGAACTCACTTTGACATTTTGGTTGCCATTTTGTGATCCTGTTTAAAAGTCTTATGTCCTGTTGCCGTGACTTCTTTGCTAAATCAGTTATGTCTGTTCATCGTACTCAGGCTTGGATTCGGTTTTTGCAGAGGAAACTGATGATGAATTATGGTTTAATTGGTTGGGAAGAAGTTGAAACCGACCTGTGATAGAACATATACTAAAGTGAACTGTATGAATAGTTCTTTACCTGTCTCACTTTCCTTGTTTTCTCCAGAACAGGGAACGTGGATTGTCAATCATCAAAATGGAAAATGCATCTTACCATACAAGAGATTCTAAAGTTCAGAAATGAAAAAGTGGCCGTTGGTTATACAAAAGGAAACATAGACACACAATCTTGAAAAGAAACCTCAAACGCTTCTCTTTGCTTTTCCATCTCATAATATTTTGAGAATCTGTGTCCATTCTTTGAGAAGATCCACACGGGATTGTATTTTCTCACCTCATTTTCCTTCAAATGGCACCTGCAAAATTTGCACTTATCCACAAAATCTATGGTGCTGCCAAGATGCTTCAGGAACGTGGATATATCAATCTGTATATAGATCTTCTATGCTATGTATTGTTATTGAATTGTGGTCATGAGCAGCAATGCCACTTCACAAGAGGAGAAGCAGAAGATTCCATGCACTTCGAAGCACAATGCAGAATAGAATTACAAAACCATATTCATGAGACCAAAAATCTCTTGGCCAATACCCAAGCTGAGATTTTAGTCATTCAGAATAATCCAACCACACCAAGCTCCAATCTTACCTAAACCATACTCCAACACATTGATGCTGTGGTTCATATCTAAATAAATGGTCTACATTCTGATTCCTTGTAAACTTTCACTGTATACATGTGTTTTTGATATTCTAAGTTTCTAACATTGTATCACAGAGACACAGAAGGATTACATTCCAGTAAAGATTCATAATTACCCGCCTAAAATACTGAACAAGGTAGTTAGCTGTTGCAAATATTTTTGTACCTTTTGAGTCTCTCTGTTCATCAATGTTCTCTTCCCCTTAAATCTTGACCATCTCAAACTTGGCTTCTCAGACCCATCGATGTCTCCTCTTGGCTAACCCAGGACCATGGAGACAAAGACCAAGGTAGCATCTGACTCGAGCCACCTGCTCCAGAGCCTCCCTACTCTTAGGAGTTGCTTGCCGCTTTAGTTTCCAGAACAGCTAAACAATTCTTTGCATTGATATACTCTGCTTCCAGAAGTTACTTGTCTCTGAATCTCCATGCATCTATCTAAATGCAGCTGAAGAACAAATCTTTACTACCCTTTTTTTTTATAGTTCAATCTGTAATCTGTATACAAACCACAATCCAGCTGCTCAGGGTGCCAAGCAATCAAACCATAGCATCTTTCTGGAGCCTTTTACTTGGTACACCTTACAGGTATAACCATAAGTCAAGAGAGAGTGCTCTAAGTCAGCCTGCATCTCACTTGGAGAACAGAATCCAATGCTGGCTAGGAGTTTTATCATGACTTTCACTCGCATCATTGATACATACCGCATCGAGCAGGTGAAATGCAGCATTCTGGTTTGGATTGCAGGGGGTAGCATCAGCCAAGTCAGAAAAATTGGTCACTTTGAGGGCATTGTCAAGCAGTTGGATCATGGAAGCATAGTGTTCTGGAATAGCCGGGATACCGTAATGTTGGGTCATGTGGCTGAAGTACTTCAAGCCTTCCTTTACATTTCTTGTGTTCACGCAGGCAGACAAGACGCCCACAAAAGTGATAGCATCTGGTTCTATGCTCGATTCTAGTTCCATCTGTTCAAAGATAGACAGAGCTTCTTCTCCGCACCCATGAACCCCCAAGCTGGTGATCATGGCATTCCACGTTGCTAAACTCTTCGTCTGCATCTTATGGAAGACTTTCCTCGCATCCTGCAAGCTCCCGCATTTACTATACATATCGATCAGAGCAGTTCCAAGGAAACAGTCAAGTGGAAAACCATTTTTGTGTGCGAAATCATGAACCCATCTACCCATACTTAGGCTTCCTAGTTGTGTAGAGGCCTGCAACAAGTTAACTAGAGTGAACTCATTTGGTCTGACATTATCAACCTGCATTTCACAGAAAAGTCGAAACGCTTCGTCTGGTCGTTGATTCTTAACATAGGCAGTGATCATTGCAGTCCACGAGACTACGTTTCTTGTCGGCATCTGGTTGAACATGGTTCGGGCAGAATCTAATTGGCCGTAGGAGACAAGGCCATTGAGCATGGTAGTCCATGAAACAATGGTCCGAACACGCATTTTCTCGAACACCTTCCGACCACAATCCGAAAGTCCACACTTGAAGTACATGTCCATGAGGGTGTTCTGCAAGAAGACATCCGAGGAAAACCCAGCTTTGACTGCCAAGCCATGAACTTGCTTGCCCAGACGAAGAGAAGAAGAAGCGAGACAAGCTTTAATAACAAAAGGGAAGGTGAACTTGTCAGGTGTAGAAGGATGAGAGATCATGAGGACAAAGAGGACAAGAGCTTCGCGAGGCTTGTCGTTGATACAGAGCGACCTTATCATAAGGTTCCAAGTGAAAGTAGACGGTGACCGGAGTTGCCGGAAAACAAGAGAAGCGTACTGTGTCTCGCCGAAGGAAGAAGAGAGATGGAGGAGCTGACGAACGATCAACTGATCCTGAGAGAGAGAGTGACGGATGATTTTGGCGTGAATCTGCTTCAGCTGAATGAAAGATGAACAATTTCGAAGAAAGAACAAAGCTTCACGACAGCGGAACCGGTGAGGAAATGAAAGCGTCGGCGGGGATGACGGAGACGGAACCGCCGCCATGGATGACGATAAGAGAGTTTCTCTTTCGCTCGTCGACCGGTCGTTGTGTGGATGGAGGTAAATCCATGGCGAGAAAAGCGAAGAAAAAGGTCGTGCAAAAACGATGACGTTTTGCGGCTTAATGTTCTCCCAATATATCTCGAAATAAAAAAAAATGAAAATAATAATAACAATATCCTCTTTCTCTGACAGTGATCGAAGCCGAAGTTGAGGAGGAGGCATCTAGGGTTTCTGGTCGGAAGCCGAAGAGGAGAGTGAATCACCGATGGGTACGAGCAGCGATCCGATCCAAGACGGCTCCGATGAGCAGCAGAAACGATCGGAAATCTACACCTATGAAGCGCCATGGCACATCTACGCCATGAACTGGAGTGTCCGTCGCGACAAGAAGTACCGTCTCGCCATTGCAAGCCTCCTCGAGCAGTACCCAAACCGCGTCGAGATTGTGCAGCTGGATGACTCCAATGGCGAGATCCGATCTGACCCGAATCTCTGCTTCGAACACCCTTATCCTCCGACAAAGACCATCTTCATCCCCGACAAGGAATGCCAAAGGCCCGACCTTCTCGCCACTTCCAGCGATTTCCTCCGTCTATGGCGAATCGCCGACGACCACTCTCGCGTCGAGCTCAAGTCTCTTCTCAATAGCAACAAGAACAGCGAGTTCTGTGGTCCGCTCACGTCGTTCGACTGGAACGAGGCTGAGCCACGGCGAATCGGGACATCAAGCATCGACACGACTTGCACGATCTGGGACATTGAGCGGGAAGCTGTTGATACTCAGCTTATCGCCCACGACAAGGAGGTCTACGACATTGCCTGGGGCGGTGTCGGCGTCTTCGCCTCCGTCTCTGCAGATGGGTCGGTCCGAGTCTTCGACCTCCGGGATAAGGAGCACTCCACGATAATCTACGAGAGCTCTGAGCCCGATACACCATTGGTGCGGCTTGGCTGGAACAAGCAGGACCCAAGGTACATGGCCACCATTATCATGGACAGTGCCAAAGTCGTGGTGCTTGATATTCGCTTCCCGGCTCTTCCTGTCGTGGAACTGCAGCGCCACCAAGCCAGTGTCAATGCCATTGCTTGGGCTCCTCATAGCTCATGTCACATTTGCACGGCGGGAGACGATTCACAGGCCTTGATTTGGGATATCTCTTCTATGGGACAGCCTGTGGAAGGTGGTCTTGACCCGATACTTGCTTACACTGCGGGCGCCGAGATTGAGCAGCTGCAATGGTCGTCATCCCAGCCTGACTGGGTCGCCATTGCCTTCTCCACCAAGCTGCAGATTCTCAGGGTTTGATCTTTTGGTACTATCCACTACTGATCTCTTGTCTCAAAAAAAGATTTACCTTAGAGTATTGTTGTCTTTTCACTTGTCGTATTTAAGGGGTCTGCTTGCTCTTTTCACTGCCCTCAAGAATGTAAAGCCTGCTCTGACTCTTTCC